AAGCCTAAACTAATACCCAATTAAAAGCTCTGCAAGCAAATTTAGTCAAAAGTACTGGTTTTAGCTCTGAGGTTGGAGGTTCTAGTCTGCGTGGAGACTTTTTCCCGCTACTCAATGACTCATGCGCGGATCTTTTACATAAAGCAGACCTTAACTAGTACGACGCTACTACACTATTTCTACTCCTTGGTGCTGATGCATAGCGTGGAAATTGATACTTTGTAGCGCATTGCCTGGTTAAAAATCTAGCTAATGAGATGGATTTGGTCGACAGATGAAGCGGTGCTTATCGGACATAAGTACGAACACAGGTTTTCAAGCGGACTGAGCAACGATGATTGATATTGGAATCAGTCGAGCTCTCGGTGACCTTCGGTGAGAGCCGACAGATACCCTAGTGGAGCGTCCGCAGGCTCTACGAAAAGTTCTTTGGCGTAGGCGAATTCCGATCAGTATTCTCACACCGTGACGATAAGTGCTAGATCAGGCGGCAACAGGCGTCAGCCCAATGGTTACGAAACAGTGGGTCGTGCTCAAAGCAATCTCTTCGGATGATGCGCGCTATGCCGTGAAGGAAACTTCCGTCGAGCTGAAAGTAAATCGAGCTCTGAACGTTATCTGACAGCGTCGGAGACTACTTAGTAAGATGTAGAATCAGAGTCCGGTTATGGCTGCTGTAGAATGGTGGCTTAGGACCACGGTCAAAACCATGAGCTTTGATGGAATGTGTATAGGCATGACGGGCGCCATGAGTATAACGGCATGAGCACATATTAATGCTCTTAGAATAACTATTCCTAGATTTAGCGATCCAAGAGTGTAAATCAATAAATTGACAATACTATTTTGGATTCTGATACGACGATCGGAGTTCCAGGCATAGCGAATTATTTAGAAAGTTTTCACAGCAATGTCCTTTGTTTTTAGTAATAATCTTCTGAAACCAAGTAACACTATCTTGGGGAAATTGGCAAAAACTTTCTATACTGATGGCTATAGGACTGAAAATGTAACTTACAGGAAAATTGAGGTATATTGGTTGCGAACTCTATAAATAGGGAAAGGTGAACATCAAATCAGCGTCAGGAATGTAAGTTAAGGCTGAACTCAGTTGGGGCATTGTGTGATTCAAGGCAACGAACTAGCTGAAGTATTAGCTAACTGCGATTCTTCGAAAAGTACAAGCATAGCCGGAACTGCCATATACATCAGGGATCCCACAAATAAGGCTCATGAGAATCGTTGGAGCAATACTGGTACCTTCACACAGCCAAGTATTTGCAGAAAGGGCTAGACAGAGTGGTGGTGAAATTCCTTCTTAAACCGAGAAGTGGGGAGCTACGAGTCCCTGTAGGACTAATTACAGGATACAATTTATGGGAACGGCATACATAGCCAACATCGACGTCCCACTTTATGCATTTTATTTGGTAAACGAGGACAGTACGGGCCATTTTCTCCTGTCCTAGACAGACTGACGTGGTCTATTTTTGGGTCGGAAGTATTGAGTGTGGAGAGGAGCTACATTTTTTCCACGGTACAAACGAAACGCGATTGGCTAGCTATGTAGGCTGATATATAGTGGTAGTAGAAGTGTGGTGGATGGCGCCACTCATGTGAAAAGCGTTACTTGGGGCGTAGCGGATGTCATAGCTTTCCCCACGGGGTTGTGTTCCTAAATCACAAATACGTATACAACTTAGCTGAAATAGTTGAGTGACTGCCAGCCAAGCTGACTGCGCGCCAAACAATTGCCTAAATAAAACTAGCAGGCAAAGTTTTTGCAGTCAGAAGAACGCATACCTATGTACATTAGGTTGATCCAAAAATGCATGTGAAAAGCAAAGTCGCAACTTTTATGCGCTCAGCCCCAAGGATTCTTCTAGTTTTCGTAGAAATGGATTGATGTTCTTGAAAATGAATATTTTTTGATCGGAAAACATCGTTTCTCTTCAGGGGACTTCCAATAACAATCCCCAATTGCTCGTTTAACCATGTTAAAAAAGAATTAATTACCAGTTGAAAAAAGAAAAGTTGTTTTTACGTATAAAATACATGGAAACTTTTGAGCGACCGACTTTATTTTTTTTTTTACCACCCTAATATCCAAATGTCAAATACTCGTCCATATATCATCCAAATGCAAGCTGGCATGCATTACTGACTTACTAATACTCAAACAAACACACACACCCACTTGGGATTCGAGTATCAGCTCACTTACATATGTATGCAACACAACGGCTCTTGCCACAGTTTGCCCGCACTGCGGCCCCAATGCGGCGTGCGGTAAACATTGGTAATTTGCCTGTTTATCGGCGAGTGGTTGTCAGTCATTGCGCTTAGGCGCAGCTGAGCGTGTTAATTTGCCACAATGCATCTCCACCTTCAGTTGGGCCCGAATGTCGGAGATGTCTGCTCTGCAGCGGTTGCCTATTGCGCTGCCCCTGGTTTGACTGGCCCTTCGATTCTGATCACCTCCCAGTGGAATTACAAATACAAACACAAGCATATCCCACCAAAAACTTTTCATTCTTCCTACATACATATAAGTACTTGGCATGTGGTAAGTGGCAAATTGCATGCCTGTCGTTACGCTTCCTAGTTATCGTCCTCATTGACTAGATCTATGAATAAGTGAACACATACCCGCAGGAATATATGTATGTATGTACCTATGTGCCAGCGCGGTTGCAACTCTCTGTTGTTAGTTGGCTGTCGAGCTCATGAAAAATGTGCTAATCCATGATATGGCTAATTTTGCAACTACTATCTCCCCATGGCAGCCGCACAAACGGAAATTAAAATGCTGTTTAGTGGACAATCAGTCAGTCGGGTCACATGCAGATGGCAGAAATAGTTAGTTAGTTATTGTATGTGCAAATAAGCGCCACATGTGCATTCATCATGCCTAGATATCGATTAGGGAGAACTATAAATTTCTATATATGTGTATATACACACAAACTTATGCAAATTCAGCAGCTAAGTACATAGTGCTTTAGTCTTACCTGCAGTATAATTCAATTATTCATTTTTTGCCCGGATAGGTGCGGTACAACTGCAGGCAAATAAAAGAAAGTGCAAAAATTTCATTGTGTGACTAGGTTAGTGATTTTAAAGTGGGGTTGGAGAAGTTCGGTTATCCACCTAGCACTCTTTAGCGAGCAAGTACCTCAAAACATAATTTTTCAGTAAGAGCGATTCAGTAACGTAGGACCAGCTGTGACGAAATTACATAGCTACCACTTCTAATGACTATCTTTATATTCTGGGTGTTAAGGTCGCTTTCAATGTGAGCTCGCAGCGTTCTTGAGCAAGGCAGTTGAAGCTCTGTCACGTCAAAGGTTGACGGTTGTTCTCGTGAGATAAACTCCCTGTGAATGCCGTTAATGGCATGTCTGTAATGAGTCGGGTTCCCTCAGGGGGATTCCGCATTTGTGGAATCACGGATATGACAGCCCCGAGGTCCCTAGTCAAAGGTTGTCAGTCCTCGAGTGGAGTGGAGGCTCATTTGGTAGAAGTTTCGGCTTTTAGCAGAGACTTAACTCTGTTACCACGTGGAAGACTCCGGGGGCTGTACGCTGGCGAGACGGGCAAGGCAAGCAAGATTAGCACGAGCAAGACGTCCAAGATGGGTAGAGATGAGGAGAAGATGTTTTAGGTAAGAGAAACAACACAGGAAGAATAGAAGTGGAGTGTGCATGTTAAGGAGAAGGTATCTCTGGTAAGGGAGACAGCACAGGAAGAAAGGAAAATAAGTGTGCAAATTGAGCAACTCGAAGCAAGTTGAGCAAGTCGCGTAAGTGCAGGTCGATCCAGTTGGCCATTACTCCGGTCTATTCTTGGGTCCGGAGCCTCGGGGAGTTTTCGTGCTGGCTGTGGTTTACACCCAATTACTGGTATAACTGACATTGGTTGGTTAGATGTGGAGCTGCATTCCCTCCGGTTGCCGGAACCCAAAGAACGGCAGAGGCTTTAGATAGGCTTCGAGTCCTACCAAGGTGGTTAGAGTGTGTCCACCCCACACTGCCAATTGGTACTGAAGTGCTTGCAATTCAGGGCGCTGATCAACGCATTGAAATTGATCCATTGTGCTTTTGAGCGTCATGGGGTTAGGCCGGCCTGGCACCGTACCCACGTTAAACACTGACACATCTGTACAGAGTCGGGTGCAGTGGTTGATCTATGTACGTCTGATATGCCTTCTGACGTGCGTTGCCGAAAGAAGGTGTCTAGGAACTGCTGGCATAGGATAGATAGTGTTGTGCTCCCTGACAGGGAGCATTTGGGCCTCGCTTGGGAGATGGTGTTCTGGCAACATCAAAAGGCATACCATCGCTGTGCAGAGTGTTGTATACTGACAGCTCTGTTGTTTGCTCCACTGCGTCCTGCTATTCGCCGGCGACCACACGTGCGCTTTCAAAAGATAATATTTGCCATAGGGGAAGGTACTTGTCTTATAGAGAATACTAAATATCTATTAGAGAAATTCGCTGTGGTCGTTGTCAGCCCATCGTCATTGAAAGCGTGAACATCCAAATTAGTGAATTTAAGAATTGTTCGCAAATACATACTACGTATTGCTCTCTCTACTGGCTCGCTGGACATATCCGTAATGAAGTAAGAGAAGTTACCGATGAGATGTCTAAAAGTGGCAATACCTGGTACGGAAATGTAAATCTACTGAGGAAATTGACTACTTTATGTATTATACTCTCGTATGTGAAGTCCCAAAGTATTAATGGCTGGGGCAAACCCATAGTAGGAATGTTTCCAGTGTCCCACAACTTTAGGCTTGGAACGTATCACGAAGTATGGGCCAAATGAAATTCAATTTCTTCTAAGCGTATGAAGACTTCATAAACACCATAAAAATACCAAAGTAAATATTCACTTAAATATTACAACGTTGTTTTCTTTTTAATTCAGATGATGTAATTTGCAGCTAATTTTTATTATAATATTTATTTAAGTACTTTTATTTTTTTTCATTTCAGGAATACAAAGCCACCACACATATACAAAGGCAACATAATTGAACTAAAATCGAAGGTCTTCCATGAGCCATCTTTGCAGAAGCACTTTAGGAATTTAATTTTTGGTAAGTTATAAAACAAAAATTTTCGTTTGAAAATGAGTTTATTTTCAGATAAAAATTTTTTTTTTATCAAATAAGATCATCCTAAATATATTTCAGAAATAAGCGCTTTCACACCCATTTACATTGATACCACCCTTTAGATAATTTATCAAACTTATTAAATAATTTGAAAGACACTTTTTAAACACGTGGCAACCCCCTTTTAACATTCTTAATATTCAAACTAAAAATTTTTAACACTCTTTCGCTCGACACACATATTTTCATATTTGAAATAGTTTGCGCATAAGTTAATTAAATTCGACTTTTGAAACAGTAGGCAACCCTCTTACCAAGTAATTTCAAGCTAAACTCTTCTTAAATGAACTAATTGTGTATAAGTTAACTGAATTGGACTTTTCACACCCGTGGCAACCCTTTTCAAAATATTTACAAACTTTTACTTTCTTCCCTTTCGTCTGCCGCACTTAACTCAAATTGAATTTAGTTTTTTTAAACAGGTGGCACCTCCAACTGTAAAGTTAAGAAACAAAGCTGTCTAAAACAATTTCGATTGAAACCCATTTTGCAATAATTGGCTTAACTTGTTAAATAATTTAAACTTAATTTTTTAAAAGGTGGCAACTCTTTTCGGAAAAGTAAAACCTTATTACACATCTACAGCCCAAGCCCTTTCGTTTTACACAACATTTTCGAAAAGCTAATTAAATTTTCCATAACCGTATATACATCACTTTTCGACAGCCCTAATAGTTTCTGAGAAATTAATTAATCATTTCTGACACCTCTTGCTTTCGATGCAAACACTCTACCTACTCAGGTGTACGTGGCGTTTGCGTAACACTCTTTTCTGCTAACACAAAAAATCCTTGCGCATTTTTATTTCACCAATCATTACTTTCTTATTTATCCATCGATTTTCTTCATTGGTAGCTTAATTTTTTCTAAAGGAACAGAATTTAACACAAGTGCGAACTATTTACTCAGAAAATTTAATTTTTTAATTTTTTCCCTGTTAAACTATGAATTTTTTCCATTTTTCCATAAAAAAAAACAAAAAATCTGGAATGATTAATTAATTTCCCCAGAAACTATCAGAGCTATCGAAAAGTGATGTATATATGGTTTATAGAATTTTTTTTTTTTTACCACCCTAATGCATATGTACTCAACTACTGCACTACTTAGGTCCGAGTTGCATATACATATCTACCATCGAAGGTGGCATTGTCAAAAGCTCTCTAAACACATATGTATGTATGTATGTAGCTTAGACTATAAACTACATAGATTCTGTAGAGCGGTTTCCCAAGATTTCCTCAACCTGAAGATATTCGTCGTAAAGCGAAAATAGGTTTAAAAGGAAATATGTAAACAATTTCGATTATCCTTTCTCATTTGTTATGTGGATAAGATAAACAAATATTAAAGCCGATTTGCTTGCAAGTATGCACATATGTATATATGTATGTATGTATTATAGGCTAACCACCACTGACAATAACTTTTCTCTCGCTGCCAAATATTTATGTACCCGTAATACAAACACCCAACAACTTTTGCTTATACGAAGCTACTAAATTTTCACCCTGAACTAAAGGCAGGCACTACTTCCTTGCGTCCTTTTTGTTTACATTTTTCTTAAAGGAAGCCAGCCCAACTCGACATTCAGCTGACTGGCAAGTGACATCGCCTGTCAACCTTGTCTTCTGCGATAGTGCCACTTTACACGGCTGCAAGTCGGTAAAAACATACAAACACACTTGAATGTTTAATATGCAAGTATATTTATGAATATAAACATTTGTATGTAAGTACATATATGTATTTTTTTCCTACAACAACTTAAGCCATCACTGTTTACAAACACACTACAGTTGTATACACATGTAAAAGAGTTATAATGAATGCATGAAACTGATATCGAAATGTCAGACCGAAAGAAGGCCATTTATAAATTTTTATAACAATGAGTGGCATAAATACATACATACTAGATACATATGTACTTACATAAAGTAAGTTACAGTAGGAAGGCGACAAAATTTTAGGCAAAAGGGAACGAAAACAGCTATGTGCGGAAAGTAAATATTCTTCAAATTAAAAGGCATAAATAAAAGAGTTTATGTGCAGTTATACTTATGTTTATATGTACATATATACATATATATATATATTACCTAATATATATCTACATACATACATACATATACCGCATGAGATATTTATGTATGGCTTCGTATGTGTTGTTTGTGGCATAAAATGTCAACGCAACGATTGAAATACTGATTAAATGGCAAACCACAATGGCAATAAAATTGGAAGAAATGCAATAGGAAAATATTTTAATAAAGGAGACACAGAAACTCTTGCCTCTTGGTTACAAACATATACATATGTATATATGTACATTAGCGTGGGCCGAAAATCTGCTTTTTTAGAATTTTGAAATATGGTTCATTATGCTTTAAAGCAATCTGTGTAAAAGATGAAAATGTTTGGTCAATATGGTCCATCAAAGTTCAATGTGCTAAAAAAAATAAAAATTAATAAATATCTACTAATTTTAATTAATAAATTTTTTTACTAAAATTTCAATTATCTTCGAAAGTATTTATTAGTCCTACATAATTTGGTATATGGACCTTTTTTTGTATAGAAACGAAGTAAGCTAAGAAAAAAAAAGTTTAGCACTTGAACTTTGATGGACTTGGGCGAGCCTAAGATATTGACCGAAACTTTTCATCTTTTACACATATTGTTTTTAGAGCATAATGAACTGTATTTTTGCTGTTACAAATCGACATTCTAAAAAAGTGGATTTTCGGCTCACACTAATGTACATTAAGGCGAGTCAATTTGTATGGGAGATTTTTTCGACTATTTGCCATAAAACCATAAGTCTAACATCAATTTGGGGTTTGCCAAATTAGCGAAAATAGGCTTCCTAGAATTTTAGTGTCGTAAAGAAGTGCTTCAATTTTTTATAAAACATGCTATTAGAACTTTTTTGGTATGAATAATCCATTTATCCACTTATCTTTGTCTTAAAACTTCCACCAGAGGGCGCAACAGTGAACATGTAACCATTTTCTACGAAACCTATTTTCGCAATTTGGCAAACTCCAAATTTATTTTAGAGCCGCTCTGATGTGTGTATGTATATATATATATATGTATTTTTTACATATTTACCTACATATTCATAATGATAAAAGTTTTCTAGGAAGAAAATAAGCGATTAAATGTTACAGTAGGACTGTTCACGATCTTAAGCATATGATCTTGCATATGCATATTTCGGTGCATTTGATAATTGACAACAATAAAATGCCCTGGACAACCAAGTGATGCGGGTATCACGATGGTAGCTGAAGCTCTGCGTCCGCTTCGTTTTTTTTTTTGCATCTCTGTACTTTGATTGCGACTGCGGTTTTCTATGATGAGATTTTCCAGGTTCTAGTGGACGCAATTATAGCTCCACCAAAGTTAATACCTGTTGCTTTTAGTAGCTCTTAGGCTAGGTTAGGTAAGCTGGCTAGCCACTACGTGGCTTTGCAGAGATCATTATGTCCATAGCGTTACCATATAAACTACGACCACATTAGACAGCTAATCACTGAGTACCAGGAGCAGTGTTGAAGAATATCGCAGTCCTCTAGGCAAACTGGTACGCCTTGTTCCTTTATTCTAGATTCGGCAAAATGGCTACTCCGAGGAGACTAGTTAGCACGCAATCTGTTAAGAGCATGACACTGGCAGAGTATATGCTCCACCGTCTCATGTCCCGTTGGATATCCTAGCAACCTTGCGTTTTGTTGCACACTCTCTGCGCCTTCCGAATTATGAAGAGGTCGACCTCCTGTTTAATCGCTTGGAAGGAAATTAACAACTCTTCTATCAGCATGGTTTCCGACAAAGCGTGTTCTTTGGCAGGGAAATACTCTATCTCCCGTAGTGTTGGCTCATAAGTGAGCCGAGTGTGCACATACACTTTACGTTTGCTATGATAGCAATATCACCCGCATATGCCGCAAGTTCCGCAGTTCCTTCTTGCATTTTCTTTAGTAGCACTGTACTTTGATAACCGGTTTGGTGGTCTCATGCCTACCCACTGTACCGAAACACTTCCCCCACCACATACGGCTTATGCTGTTCGAAATTACGGTATTAACCCCCAACGTCCTCATTCCGTCTAAAATGGCTGGGTTTGAGGCATTGTTGTAGGCCGCCGCTATGTCCAGGAAGACCCCCAACACAAACTCTCCGTTCTCCAGCTCCACTTCTATTCGTCTTACAACAGCATGCGTCCCACTGGATTGTGCTTAATGTATCTGCCTATTTACCTCGCCAGGGTATTTTGAAGAAACGATGTTAACCCCATGGGCATATAGTCCTTGGGGTAAGTGTGGCCTCTTTGCCTTATTTTGGTAGGACGACCACACTCGCAATCCTTCCAGACGTAAAAACGTAAAAGTCAGCTTAGGCACCCTTGCTCTCTATCATAAGAATTTTGAAGCCTGAAATTTATCTTAGCGACCTTCAGTGTCCCACTGCAGGTCGATGGAATGAACTCTTCATGGATGTTGAGAATCTCGCCATTTAATCACTACTTCTCGAACTAATGTTCACTTGCTTGAACTTTGATGCGATCCACGCTCTATCTTAAACGGAAAGTCTTCGAAGTCGGTAACGTCGATAACAATGTTTAATCGAAGATTTATGTTAACCAGACATTGAGTAACAGGCCCTTAGTGGTACTCTTAACGGACTTATTACAAATATTTTTAACATCACTGATTTATGTGAGAGTTAATTGCAAAACTTTCAAAGTAATCTCCGAATTTCCACTTTTTGCACTTTTTAAAATTTTCACCCTTACAGATTTTTGTGCTCCCTGCAATTTGAAGCCATTTATCTTAATGCTCTCTTTAAAGTGTTGGCGCTGGTTATGGGATGTG